CCCTTGCCGTCCCTGGCCTGTTTGGAGCGCCTCTTGGGCAGCCCCGGGCTTCCAGAAGCACGGAAAGGCGAGAACGCGAATATCATTCAACAACTCTACGAACATGTAACTGATGTGCCTGCAAAGTCTCTCTTGGGGGTCATCCGGTAGCCCTCTTGGAGTATCTTGAGAGCCTCGCGGGCTCTTTTGCGACAACTTTGGGCCGTCTCGGCGCCCTCTTGGGCCTGACCGTATTGGAGTGGCCCCAAGGAGCGATGTTGGCCCAGTTTTGCGGCGCAAAGGGGCGGACCACTTTGGCGCTGCGGATGTGGCGTGGCGCCTCTGAGGAGGGGATGGAAGAGGGCTTATCTAATATCCGAGATTGGTTCACACATACTTCTGCACCTGTGAATGCAAAACAACACCACTTAGTGCGGGGGGCATCAGGATAGGACATCCGCTAGCTCTCACGGCTTCCCTCTAGCATCACGTCACCTCCGAACGTGAATTCTTCTCGCTTCGCAGCGTCCACATTTGAAGCGCGTAAAATCTGGGCGTTGAGACACCATGTACCTTATGGCAGGAGGAGGAGGAGGAGGAGGAGGAGGAGGAGGAGGAGGGGGGAGGAGGAGGAGGAGGAGGAGGAGGAGGAGAGGAGGAGGAGGAGGAGGAGGAGGAGGAGGGAGGAGGAGGAGGAGGAGGAGGAGGAGGAGGAGGAGGAGGAGGAGGAGAGGAGGAGGAGAGGAGGAGGAGGAGGAGGGAGGAGGAGGAGGAGGAGGAGGAGGAGGAGGAGGAGGAGGAGGAGGAGGAGGAGAGGAGGAGGAGGAGGGAGGAGGGCGGAGGAGGAGGAGGAGGAGGAGGAGGGAGGAGGAGGAGGAGGAGGAGGAGGAGGAGGAGGAGGAGGAGAAGGAGGAGGATATTGGGAGGTCTCTTCGGGTCTGTTGCTGGGCTTTTTGGACGCCTCTAGGAGGTATCGGGGGAGGCTCTTTAGCAGCGTTTTGAGGCCTTTCGGGTGTCTCGGGACATTTCTGGTGTATTAGGAGGTCTTTGGGGGCACCTTGGCGGGGGGAGGGCTCTCGGGGTCACCCCATTAGGGCCATCTTGGGGCCTTCTTGCGGGCACCTTGGGCCATCTTGGTGGCCTCTTTGGCTGTTTGGGGTCCCTGGCGGGGCCTCTTGGGCCGTCTTGGATGGGCTTCCACACGCTCGAGAAGGTGAGAACGCGAAGCATGGAAATTCAAAAGTTTGTACCTCTCGAGGCACTCTTGGTAGTCATCTTGGGGCCCTCTTGGGGCGTCTTCGGAGCCTCTTGGTCTTTACTGGGCCGTCGTGGGGCCTTATTTAACCATCTCGGGACCGTCTTGGAGCCACACTTGGCTGTCTTGGGTCGTCGCAGTGGTTGGCGGCCTCGCTGGTCGCCCGGGCGCCGAGGACGGATGGCCGATGGGGCCAGGTGCCCGACCTCGGCGGCGAGCGAGGAGGGGGGAAGCGGGAGGGGGCGGGACTTCTCGGACGGCTCGAATGTTCCCCCGGCCTTCCGAGGAGCTCTCTGAGCCTTCCCCGAAGGCGCAGAGCGCTTCTCAGGAGACGCGAGGGCTTCGGAGAAGTCCCGCCGCCTTCTGAGAAGTCCTCCTCATCACTTCCCCCCCCCGCTCGCCGCCGATGACCAGCGTCACGTGCGGCGCCCTTGTGGATCTCGGCGGCGTGGTGCCCATCGGTGCCCGCAGCTCTTCCCCCTCGCGCGGCCGCCTCTCGCCGTGCTGCTGATCGGCGTCGAGCTGATGGGTTACCCCTCGTGCTGCTCCTCGCGCGTGCTGCCGTTGCCCGACGTATACCACTTTGAAGCATCGCGTGATTCCTGTGTGTGGCATCCCACCACCCCGACGCCGGTCTTAGGATTCCCTCAACTTCTGAGGGCACACCTCTAAGCTTGTCCTCGCTTTTTCTTCGCCCATCTAGGGGATAGGGATAAGTTCGAGGCTGGTAAGACGTGCTGCTCCCGCGCGGAGTGGGGCGCATTAGACGTCAAGACGGCGAGGCTGCTCTACGCCGTGCGGCTGTCTCACCGTGTGGTGCCCAGAGATGCGAGCCGCGCCAGGCTGACGCGGGGGGGCCGGCAAGAGGAGGGCGAGGGCGAGGAGGGGGTGGACGAGCTGGAGGATGGAGAGCAGAGGATGTCGGGGGCCCCCGGAGGCCTGCAGGGCTGTCTTTGCGGCCTCTCTTGGGCTGTCCAGACCGCCTGGTGCCCGCCGCCCTTCCACTTCCCAAGAAAGGCCCGCATCGCTCCCTCCAAATCTCAAACATTCGGCCCGGCGGGGGGAGACTGCACACGCACGGGAACCCCGGAGGGGTCGAGATCGTCAGCATACCTTTCGAAGAACATTTACATTTGCCATTCTTCATGCTTTGTCATTTTCTTCCTTATCCTCAAGTTTCTTCCAGGTTCTAACCTGCGATCGGCTGTTCCTACTGCACATCTTGACGACCCCGGAAGGGTCGGCGGATTGCGGCAGTTGCTGGGCCCACGCCGCAACCATGGCGATGCGCGCCCGCGCGGAGATCAAGGGGCTGCCTGCTGAGTTCTCCGCAGAGCAGCTGGTCGCCTGCACCCCGAATCCCCACAAGTGTGGCGGCACTCGGAGGGGTTCGATGTGTACACCACGTCGTCTGGTCGGCCAAGTGGCCAATGAACTCGGCGAAAGAATTCGCCGCATATATCAGAGAAGGAAATGGTACTCCTGATTTCGTAATAAAGGGAGGGGGGTCTCATTTCGGGGGGGTCTCTTCCAGGCTATCTTGGAGGGCCTGGGGGGGTCTGGGGACGATGTTTTGGAGGGTTCTCCCACGGGGGAGGTCTGAAATGGCTTGTCTTGGAGGGTCCAGACCCCCTCCCTTTTATTACGAAATCTGGAGTACCGATACCGCGACCCCTTCCTCGTTTTCGCCCTTCTGGGCCTCTCGGGAGGCCCTCGTCGTCACGGCTGCCCTCGCCTCGAGATGCGAATCGGACCGCACCCTAGGAGAGGTCCGTGGAGTAGCGGTACGTATGTGTATTTGTGTCGTTGTCCCCAGACGCTCCAGCGCCCCACAGGTTGGGCAGCTTGGTCGTCTGTGCACCGAGCTCCTGGCTTCTTGGCCGACCACACGGCGTGGTGTATATGCAGCGAGCCCCTCCCAGGCACCGGAGGCTGCGACGGCGCCACCGCGGAGCTGGCGTACGAGTACGTACTGCAGAGGGGGCTGGCCAAGCCACAGCACTTCTTCATGCAGAAGAGCATGCTCTCTGGCGCGACAGGCGACGATCCCATGAGCGGCTGCCCCGCGAGCCTCCGGGTCCAGTCCGAGGTCGCGACCAAGGGTGTCCTGGGCATTGACGGCAGCGAGGTCCACCTCCTGGGCACTTCCGAGAGCGAGCTCATGGGCATGACGATCGGCATGCGGGGGTGGACGAAGTTGCCGGAGAACAGGGAGGAGCCCATCATGAGGAGCCTCATGATGGACGGCCCCCTCTACGTCGCCGTGGCCGTCGGCGAGCACTGGCACTACTACAGCGGGGGCGTGATGACGCAGGAGGGCTGCGATACGCGCAACGTGATCAACCACGCGGTGACGCTGTTCGCCTGGGGCGTCAAGGAGAAGAGCCGCATCTAGAATAGCAAAGAACAGCATGCATGCCAACAGGAGGAAGTCCGCGTGGATGTCTTGGGACTGGCGCATCGGCCCGTCCGCCTTGGCGCAGGGGCGGCGCCAGAGGCGCCGCCAGGAGAGGTCCAGCGCCGATCCAACGACATCCGCGCGGATCTCCAGCGGTTTATGTATGTGCTGTCTTTTGTTCATCTGGCCTCGGCCCCGTGAAGTTCTGGGCCATCAAGAATTCCTGGGGGCCCCACTGGGGCGAGCACGGGAACGTGCGACTCCACCGCAGGGACAACGAGGAGAGCCACTGCGGATGGGACGAGAAGCCGCAGGACGGCAGCGGCTGTGACGGGGGACCCAAGCAGGTATCGGGGCGGACGAACTTGGCGACGAAATTGCGGTCAAGATCGTTTGGACGGCGCGTCGCTTGGCCTGTTCTGGCCCACCACGCCCCGGCGCAGCACGCTGTCCGCATCCCAGGCCTCTAGGCGCCAACGCCCCGAGATGTTCCGAGCCTCCCTTCCCCGCGGAGCAGAGCGACACGCCATCCGCTCGCAGGGCGCAGCGTGTCGCTTCGGGGCCGCCCGGGGGGGGAAATGGCTCCGGACCTCTGCTTCGCGCGGCTGTTTGCACGAGCGCTGCCTCCGGGGGAGACGCCACCCACCCGCTCGAAACAGGGGGCAAAAACCGCAAAGATCTACTCCCGGGGGGGGGGGGGGAAGGAAGGAAGGGTTTGGGGACCCGCGCCGATCGGCAAGACAAGGAGTAAAGAAACGATCATCCTTTTGCCGGCGGTTCCGCGCGGACCAGCAGCACGACGAACCACCCGCGCGGACCGCCGATCCGTCTGCACAGCTCTTTGAGCCCTTCTGTGCTCCGCCCGGCCTTGGTTTTGATTTATCCTCGGGTTCTCGTCAGAACGATAACTCCTGCACGTAGCCGACGCCCGACGCATGGGCCCGAGGGGGCCGAAAGAAAGCGGGGAGCGGCCCCAGAAAAACCACAGACAGACGAGCGGAGGGACACGACCGAAGAAAAGGGGCCACGAGACAGCGTGGGCCCGAAAGCAGCAAAGCGATGCTGGGAAAGCCTGGAGTAGGGGAACGAAGAATGACATAAACATAAAAACTCAGAGGTTCGCGCAGATTTCTCGGATCCGCGCTGGACCCCCCTGGCGGCGCCTCCGGCGCCGCCCCCGGCGCGCTCCGCGCGCCAGGGAGGGGGGTCCAGTGCGGATCCGAGAAATCCGCGCGGACCTCCGAGTTTTCATGTTCACGTCATTCTTCCTTCCCCTATGGAGAGGGGGATTTCTGGCCCAGCGGGAAGAAGGTGTGGGTGTGCGGCGTCTGCGGGATCCTCTACGACGCCGTGGCGCCCCACTTCTGAGGAGGGCCCCGCTGGCGCACGGGGCGGCTCGACCGTGCGGCTCGGGGAGGGGGGCCCGCCGCTCGCCCACGGGGGCGCGCCGCCTCCGACGCCCTCGGCCTGCACCCCCCGGCCACCTCGGGCCCCGAGGCCGAGAGCCAGAGGGGAGGAGAGAGAGTCGGGAAGGGAGAGAGAGAGAGAGAGAGGCACAGAGAGGGAGGAGACGGAAGCAGAGAGTCTGGGAGCGAGAGAGAAGAGGGATGGGGAGGGAGCGAGGAGGGAGAGAGAGAGCGAGAGAGAGAGAGATAGTGAGAGAGCAAAGAGAGCGCGAGAGGGAGACTATACAAACGTGTGTGTGTGCATATACATGGTTATATCTACATATATATATATATATAGATGAAGATGTATATGCCCACACGTAATTATACGACCACACTTAGGGTAATGAGCGAGGTTGTTGGGGGGAGTTCGGCTTTCGGTGTTCGATTGGGGTCGGATCGGGTTCGGCAGAAACCAGTTGGGCACCACAGAGCACCTGTTAAGCCACCTATCTATCGATCTCACTCTCTGTCTACCCATCGGTCTCACTAACTATTTTCCTCTATCTATCGATCTCAACGTCGATCCTCACTATCGATCTCACCATCGATTTGTCGATCGATCCCAGTGTCGATCTCGCCATCGATTTCACAGTCGACCTCACGGGGCACCACGGGACACCACGGGTCACTACGGGACACCTTCGGGACACCGGCAGGGCACCCCCGAGCCACCGCCAGCCAACCGCGGTGCGTGTAGTCATTGAGCTTCGTTTCGCTCTAGCCGTGTCGGGCTTATTCCTCCCGCCCGCCCACGCAGTTTCGCCTCGCCCGCCCGCGCGGCACGAGCACCAAACCGAAACCGATGTCCTGGTGGGGGGTCTCCGTTTCACTTCGAGCTCACCTCCCGACCACCGATATAACCCCAGGAAGCATTTAAGAACCCCCCCCCCTTCCGGCAAATCGATAACCCTTCCGTACCCTGGAAGCGTTACCTGGCACCAGGAGCCCTCCTCCTCCTCCTCCTCATCCTCCTCCTCATCCTCCTCCTCTCCTCCACCCACGAACTTCCTCCTGCCCCCTCCTCCTCCTCCTCCTCCTCCTCCTCCTCCTCCTCCTCCTCCTCCTCCTCCTCCTCCTCCTCCCCCCCATGAGAGCCACGCAGATTTGAATTTCGAATTTCGATTGTAGCCCAGGGGCCAGGCCTCCGCGAATTTGTTGTGTGTCCGGGTGCTAAACCTATCGTGCGGTTATTTCGGCCCCTCGGAATATCAAATAAAAATGCGGTGCTAAGATATCGCCGGGGGGGTTCTTAAATGCTTCCTGGGGTTACACGCATATGTTGGAGAGAAGGGACAGGGGGATGTGAGATGCAATCTAGGTGCGCTCGCACTGTATCGGACATCCTCCTTTCCATTTGCGCTGAATTGTGTTGTATCCGCCGACTGGAACCTTGTAGAGGACCTTCACCGCCAAAATGACCCCATCGTGCGATGCGCAAACGGAAGGGGGAGGCGGCCTTGCACATTGGAGGAGGAGGATGTGGCGAATGAGCAGGAGGATGAGCAGATAGAAGGGGAGGAGGAGAAGGAGGGAGGAGAAGGAGGATCAGAAGCAGCAGGAGGAGAAGGAGCAGCAGCAGGAGGAGCAGACGCCCAGGGGGAAGGCGGAGCAGGGGCAAGGAGCGGGGCGGCAACGGCGGGGAAAGCTTCGGATCCGGAAGGGTGGCCCGCGCTGCCTCGTCCCTCTCGCACTCGTCTCCTCCGTCCGCTCCCTTCCCCGCCCGCCGTCCCCTGCCGCCCCTCCCTCCGCCCCCTCCCCCCGTCCTCGTGCCCACCATGTTTCGGAATCGTCCTTGCCCTCCTGCTCCTTCCTCTCGACGAACGCCGGCCCAACGCCGCTCCCCGGACCCCCTCCCGTGGTCCACTCGGGCAGGCGTTCCACCCCAGACCGATGTCTGGCGGCCACAGAGCTTGAGATGGCCCTCTGAAGACCAGAAGTTGTCTGGGCGAAGGGCCCAACCAGTTGCAGGCTTACGTGTCGCAAGGCAGGGTGGGACACCGGGGAGGGGAGCTCCCGGTGGGGCCACGGGACGTGCGCGGGTGCTGAAAGTGGGCGCGGCGCCGCCGTGTTAACTTTCCAGCTCGGGTCCTCGGTGGGGCTCCCTATGGGGCCACAAAGCTTTCGATGGATGTGCCAAAATCGGTGCGGCGCCGCCATGCGAACTTTCCCACTGGGGCCTTTGGTGGGACTTCCTATGGCGCCGCGCGACGTGTGAGGGGTGTGCCGAAAGTGATGCGGCGCCACCATGCGAACTTTCCCACTGGGGCCTTCTGCGGGACTTCCTATGGGGCCACGAGACGTGTGAGGGGTGTGTCAAAATCGGTGCGGCGCCGCCATGCGAACTTTCCCACTGGGGCATTCGGTGGGATTCCCTGTGGCGCCACGCGACGTGTGAGGGGTGCGGTGCGGCGCCGCCATGCGAATTTTCCCACTGGGGCCTTCGGTGGGATTCCCTGTGGCGCCACGCGACGTGTGAGGGGTGTGCCGAAAGCGGTGCGGCGCCGCCATGCGAACTTTCCCATTGGGGCCTTCGGCTGGATTTCTTATAGGGCCTCGAGACGCGTGAGGGGTGTGCCGAAATCGGTGCGGCGCCGCCATGCGAACTTTCCCACTGGGGCCTTCGGTGGAGCTCCTTATGGGGCCACGTGACGTGTGAGGGGTGTACCGAAAGTGGCGCGTCGCCGCCATGCGAACTTTTCCACTGGGGCCGTCGGTGGGACTTCCTATGGCGCCGCGCGACGTGTGAGGGGTGCCGAAAGTGGTGCGGCGCCGCCGCGCCGCCATGCGAACTTTCCCATTGGGGCCTTCGGCGGGATTTCTTATGGGGTCACGAGACGTGTGAGGGGTGTGCCGAAAGTGGTGCGGCGCCGCCACGCGTACTTTCCCACTGGGGCCTTCGGTGGGGCTCCCTATGGGGCCACGAGACGTGTGATGGGTTTGCCAAAATCGGTGCGGCGCCGCCATGCGAACTTTCCCTCTGGGGCCTTCGGCGGGACTTCCTATGGGGCCACGAGACGTGCGAGGGTGCGCCAAAATCGGTACCATGCGAACTTTCCCACTCGGGCCTTGGGCGGGGACTTTTATAGGGCCACGAGACGTGTGAGGGGTGTGCCGGAAGTGGTACGGCGCCACCATGCGAACTTTCCCCCAGGGGCCTTCGGTGGGGCTCCCTATGGGGCCATGAAGCGCGTGAATGATGCGACGCGGAGAGAAGAGTTGGGAGGGGGAGGGGGGGAGGGGGATGGAAATTGAGGTGCAGCGCGGCGCTGTCTTTTCAAAACGAGGACCCAACACCACAAGATGGGAATAATGAGTGCATCGAACCCCCACCTCGCCCTTTTGCCCTGTTCCCCGTTTCGGGAGATGCCAAGGAGGGTCACCACATGGGGGCTCGCAAGTTCCTTCTCAGGATGTTCGACTCCGTGCCGATGCAGCCAGATCCGACGCACGTTCCGACCTGGTCCGATATATCGGTTCGGTGTTGACAGATCCTGCCCCCTTCCCCCCGACACGCCCGAGCGGCACGCCTCCGCCTGCCACGGCACATGTGCTTGTGTGTTGTTCCTGGCGTCGAGAGTCGAGCCAGTTGTTGGATGCTCCTGGGCATCGTGGGAGCTTGTGGAGGGCGAGGGGTTCCCATCCCCGAGGAGGCGGCGACACCTCCTAGTGGTGACCCCCTTTGCACTGCCTAGCCCCTGGCGACGCAGGGGCGCGGTCACGCCCGCGGCGGCGCGCGTGACAGCCGGTATGCCCCCACGTCAGCCCGCGGAGAGAGATCGCGTGGCGCAGGTGACTCATTTGCGCCCCTCGGCCGCGCGTCCGCCCGACTGGGTGGTAGTATCTGAAGTGGCTCCTCGTCCTCCTCTTCCTCCTCCTCCTCCGCCTCCTCATGGTCCTCCTCCTCCTCCGCTCCCATACCTCCATCCCCCTGTATCCCTCTCTGCTCGCCCTTCTCCTCCTCCTCCTCCTCCTCCTCCTCCTCCTTCTCCTCCTATTCCGCCTCCTCCTCCTCTTCTTGACTGCTCTTCTTTTCGTCCCTACTCGCACCTTCCTACCCATACATGCCCCCTCCTCTTCTCGCTCTCGCTCTCCTCCTCCTCGTCCTCCTTCGCCTCCTCCTCTTCCTCCTCCTCCTATTCATCCTCCTCCTCCTACTCCTCCTCCTTCTCCTCCTCCTCCCCCTCCTCCTCCTCCTCCTCTTCCTCCTCCTCCTCCTCCTTCTCCTCGTACTCCTCCTCGTCCATCGTCGTCCTTGTAGATGACCCTTCCCTGTCGCACCACCAGACGTATCGTCAGGGTGGGCTATGAGTGTCGCCCGAGACGTCCTCACAAATAATGATTTCGAAACTTGATATTTCCAACAGTTGCACGCGTGGAACACAGGTAGATTTCAAGATGGGGCCCTTAGTTACTTTGGCGCCTCGCATGCTCGTCTTCGTGAACCTGGCGCGACTGCAAGTAGGAGAAATCCTGTCAAGTTATCACGAGCAGGTAAGTAAGGATGGATTCACGTAAGTGTGGAAGTACGTGGGCATTGCGACCGTACAGAGTTGCGTGATTCCCTTCGCGCTTGAGCCCTTTGACTACGGAGAACAAGCATTGCTTTGTTTTGCGTCGTCTTCCTGCACATTCGAGCTGCAACGTGACACTTTCAGTTGGACTGGGCAATCAGCCCCGAGCATGTCACACGTTAGCGTTCCCAGCCCGACCGTGCCAAATGTTATTCTGTGTTGGGCAGCAAAGTGAAAGCGAAGCCGCTCAAGCTGAAGCGAAGAACGTGAAAGCAAGAACCCAGAAGGCCAAGTGTACGACTCGTTAGCTTAGGCTGGGCATCCCGGCCCGTGCGTGTCGCGTGTCACGTCGACGTGCTTGTCTACAGTTGGCGAGCAAGTCGAAGCTGCCACTCAACGAGTGCAA